AAGTCAGGAAAGAACATCAGGACTTGGGTTTTAATATAGACTTTAAAACAAATGCAATCAGGATCATCACAGAGAGCATATCTGTGACTGTTAAAAATATTACAGTAGTGATGGCCAGCACCCACTTTATGACAGATAATAATAGACAGAGTTCTTTATTTTCCAAAGATACTTTATTTCAGACTAGTGATTGCTGGGCATGCACGATAAAATGTTAAATGATTGAGTTATCATAGTTCTCAGTTCCAGAAGGTCAATAACAATGCTCAGAAATTACTGTTTTATTGAACTTTGACAAAGGTTCGCTAATTTTTAGGTGACAAAATGATGCCAGGTATATTGATGCAGTTAAACTTAGCATCTATAGATTCCCATAGAAAAAAAAGGAGATAATTACAAGTAAATGTACCTATAAGCTATAAATATCAAGGAGTGAAAGAACTTAGATCTTACTGTCATTATTATTTATTTTTCAAGTTACCTTCTAAAAACTTTTTTCAGGTCTTAAGGTACAAGAAAGAGTAAATCTCTTCTTTTATATTATCTCTCAACTATCTCCATACCTTGGTATTTCTCTTGAATCTTCTTTCCACATGCACAGTGTAATTTATACTCCTATCAATGCCATGGCCTTTCTTCCCATCCCTTCTTCAATACCCTAGGCACTCCAAAACACTTGTGAAAACCTTTCTCACTCTGAGAAATGTTGAAAGGTTGGTATTGCAATGGAATGTAAAGTTTAGATAAAAGAGGGAGTATGTTTATTTTGACTTTACTATAAATTTTGCTATGGTACAAATATCTACCGTACTGTAGTACTTATTGCATAGTAAATTTTTATATTTTACTATCAAAATACTCTCTTTACTATCTTATCAATATTGTAATATAGATACTACACTCTTGACTTTACTATGCAATAAATAACACTGATGAAGGTTGTTTGGAGTGAATCATAATTTAGTTAGTGCCGATTCACTGACTATTAAGTAGTTGTTAGATGAGAATACCCCATTTAAAGATATGTGTGGTATCTGGTATCTGCAAGTTCCTCCAAGGGTCAAAGCATGAATCATATATGAGACTTCCCCTGAAGTTTTGTAGGGTTTTGTATACTTGATCCTAATAACTGAAGCCAAGTTTTAAAAAACTAGCCTCCTACAATTTCTGTTCAAATTTTGCCTTCTCTAAAGATGTTTGTGGGACTGTGTCTAAAATAAGACAAATGTTCTATCACACACCCCTCCAAAAAAAATGGCATTTAAAAAAGAAAACAGTTCCAAAAGAACTCAATCAGTAATTGGTCTGGAAAAAAAAAATGAAGTCCATGGGACTTGCTGATGCCAGCAGCAGGAACTCATGGCAATGTGAGCTGTCTCTTTGAAACCAGACACATCACCCTTAGTTTACAAGAAGCAAATCAGGGCCCCAAAGTAATAGGGTAGCAGGAGGAAGAAGCACTAAGAATGAGAATTAAAATAGCACAGCTCCATTGGACTCTTTCTTTCAGCACTTCACACAATCCCTGCCCTCATAGGACCCTTGGCCCTCATCTAGATCTGCATCAGGGCAAGTAGAGTTCTCCGTAGAGTTGGGCTTTGAAGGATTTGTTAGGACAGGTGTATTAAACTTAATATTCAAATTTATGTATGAAAAATATATGATCCCTAAGGAACCACTTTCCCAGGAGACATATTTAGTCATCAGTTCAGGTATACTTGGAAGGTTTAGAAAAAGCCTTTCTCTGGATGTAGAATGCAAGAATAAAACTGTAGTATTTTGGGGGATAACAAGTCAACTATTAATACTTACTGTAGACACTACAAAAACATAAAATTACATATTTTTAAGCTGAGTACTTAATATTACTGAGCAGCACTTGTCCTCAAAGTGAATAAACTTCTAATTTGTTTTCTGAAAATGAGTTGCAGGTGATTTGTACACGATTTTTTAAAACTATTATAGAAAGAGATATGTTTTTGCTTGTGAACATACTTCATTTTTCTTGGTTCCATATTAAAAGGTGCTACAGATAACCTAGTGTTTGTTTAATCCCAATATGTTCTGGAATGTAGTCTATTGGGCTAGGGAATTAGAAAACACACACACACACAAAAATTAATTGTACCTTTCAGCATACACCCACAAAAATACACACAATCCCTGGTTGTGACACGCTTCAACACTTTCCCAGTTTGCTATTAGAGATGCGATGTTTATTGTGTGAAGCAAGTATTTTGC